TGGGAGATATTCTTCATTCTTTCTACATTAGAAATACAGTCAGACTGACTATGCCAGATTATGAACATGCAAACTTACTTGGGAGAGGAGCAAAAGACGTAAGATATATATGATGGGTGATAGACTAACACAAGGCTAGTCCGCGTTTAATATGAGTCAGTGATAGACTAACACAAGGCTAGTCCACATTTAAAATGAGTCAGTGATAAATGGTCCAGCTCAAGATGCATTCACCTTCGTCTAAGCAAATACTAGCAAGTCTCGAGGGCAACGTTGATCCTACTGACGGCAATACAAGCGGGAGGAAAAAGGTGTGAAAAAAAAGTGCATGTGATGCTTTCGTGCCTTCCATATTTCTGGGAGAGTAGCAGCTCGCATTCCATAGGGATTCACTGACAGAAAATCACTAGGACAGAAGATCGACGGCGACTCACTGCGTACCTGTGTGACATAACACGAGTACACTCCTCCAGGAAGGCTCGAGAGACCATGGAAATTGCTAAATGATGAGGGATCCTCCAAGGAGGCGCTGGAGCACCTGAGGGCGCAGGAGGTTTGACACGAGGTTGCCGCAAATGAATGCAGGCTGGTTTCATTGGGAAATACGTATGATAACTACTTTACTCATCGAAGGCCCAGGGTTCCACCATCTTAATTCGTCCTTCATCGATGGCAATCCTGACTTTTTCCTCCCCAATTGCAACAGACTCAACCTCATGGTAAACAGCACCAGCGACACCCAGAACGCAGTTGAGTGCATTCTCCCTAGTGTAAAAATGATCAAATACGACAAGCGCCTGGAATGAATCTGTGCTCACCAGCCTGCCACTACACCAATGTGAGACCCACGGGTGACATAGAACATGCTTTGAGAGGGTTTGACTTGTACTGAAATATTATAACAGTTTAGCGAGAAGATACACGTGTTGATTGACTCACCTGGAATGTTATAGAAAACATCCTTGTAGACGTGAAGGACAGAGTCGTCCGCCCTCAATCTCACAGCATTCTCGAAATCTGGATGGTTGTGATTGATTGATGGTGAACTCTGGGCTTGCCGTGGAGAGTGCGCGATTGACGAAGACGACTGGAGGGTGAAGACGAGGTGAAGACACGCTCGATGAAAATGGTTACGGTCACCGACGACATAGTTTGCTGGGGGAAAAATTGTGAGAATTAGTGGAGTACGCTCAAAGGTTGAAAAGGCTCATCTGATGAGAAGTGGAAGATACCTACAATCGCATTCAACTTGCCAAAAGGGTGGCATATGCATAGTGCTTGCTGGACGTTTCTGAAAAACAATTCAGAAGTTGAAAAAAGCCCTGTGTTGACCAAAACGAGTGGAAAGGATTCTATGTGTTTACGTGGAGTAAAGCTCACGTGTGTTCTTGCGCGACCCTTAGTACAGTGCCAAATAAAGTTAACCAAGATGCTCACGTGTGACGATGAACTTCTCGGCGTGCTACACCCGATGAGCAATGTTAATGAAGGCTCAGGCAAGACGTCGCCGAGTGCGGAAGTAAGGGTTCCCTTTCCAAACGTCGCCGAGTGCGGAAGTAAGGCTTCCTTGTTCCGAGTTGTTCCGATTGTTTTCCCTTCACAACAATAGGCTATGGGGAGGCTCGTGTGGGTCTGAAGAAAAAGGAATATCAGTGGGGTCGAACCAGGGAGCAGGGCGTTGCAAAGACCACTGCGCGATAACCACTACGCCATGAGTGCTTCCATTCATTGCACAATATTACATCCTAGAGAGTATCATAATGTCAACTAATACGCACCTTCTGAAGTCCCGAGAGCTTCTGCAATCGACCACGATGTCTTATCGTGGCCTTCTGCGTCCTGCAATCGATGGCGATGGGTTTTATCTGCAATGGTCGCGATCCTTCTCTACCGCACCTATACATCTTGATCATGGATTTCACTGAACTCGACCATTCCCTCTAACGCATTGCATCGCGGCACCATTTGCCAGTAGAGACGACGTTGGAAAGGTGGCCGGAGAGGCGGGCGGAAATGAATGATCCTAACACATGGAAAGAGCTTGATGGCATACCATGTATTGTTGCTGGGCTAGCGGCATTGCTTGGTAAGTGCTGTGGTTGACATCTGTAATAGAATAATCAAGTCAAAATGTTTGCAGGAAACTTGAAGCGCCAGGGGGATTCTTTCCATGGAAAAGGCTACCCGCTGAACTAGCCAAACGTGGCTACGTCCTCCAACACTACCCTGAAAATGTTCTGATGCCTGGGGAGAGACGCGCCACCCTTGCAAAGAGCAAGGGGATACACGACCTTACGCTTCGTGAGCGCCAAATCTTTGCCGATGCCCTCAAGAACAATTTACTCACCGTCAAAACCATCACTGGCAAAGACGCCCGTGCAAAGCTCGTGGCCTCCCGTAGGCCTGTCATCGTCGGGGAAGCGCCTGCACCTGATTCCAACAACAGACGTGGTCGGCGTTGGTTTGCTAATGGTCGTCTTGATAGGAGGGGTCTTCGTCGCCTCGAATTCACAGACACCTCTTCCGACACCTCCCCCGAGCCATCCCCTGCACCAGTGTCTGATGCGCCGCGTCCACGTCCTGGTCCTGCATCCGTGCGTCCTCGTCCTGGTCCTGCATCGCTGGCTCGTGTGTCTCCTACACCACGTCCTCGTCCTGCTCGTCCAGCACTACTCCCACCTTTCTCCCCCGAGCCATCCCCTGCATCAGTGTCTGATGCGCCGCGTCCTCGTAGGAGGGGTCTTCGTCGCATCGTGTTCACAGACACCTCTTCCGACACCTCCCCCGAGCCATCCCCTGCACCAGTGTCTGATGCGCCTCGTCCTCGTCCTGGTCCTGCATCCGTGCGTCCTCGTCCTGGTCCTGCATCCATGCGTCCTCGTGTGTCTCCTACACCACGTCCTCGTCCTGCTCGTCCAGCACTGCTCCCACCTTTACAGGTAGTTAAACCCAACGTCGATGAACTCATCCCGGATATATCCTACCTTGGGCAGGCTTCACAATATTCTGATGGTGCCACGCACGAGGAAGACGAAGTGGAGGTCGATGAGTTGTTTGGGACCCAGGGAAGTAAAGTTGTGCGCGCTGTATAATAGTGTCATTGGGCATCGTTGTAGTACTAAAGGTTCTATATACTGGTGAAGGGGGGAGAATGTATCAAGACGAAATGCGTGAATATAAGCCTTAGATACGGATCCTCTTCTGGTACATCAGCTCACCCATTGAGTGAGCAACCGTCAACTCAGTGAGTCCTTCAATGTCCAAAAAATACTGGACATCATCTATATAAGCGAGTGTAGTGCTTAAGAACCGGGAGACTGATTTAGTAGCGCGAGACTCGGTCGAGACTCCACAGAAAATTATGATTTGATCCTGCACTCGAGTTGCACGGCGGAGTAAGCGTTCGACCTCTGTTTTCGCATTTTGAATGATTGAGGTGTCGCCCTTGCCATGCACTTCATCTGGCAAGCTTTTGACGTACTGAAGGAGGAGGCTCTCTGTAAATGCGCAGGGTTCTCCAATTAGCACCAACATCTCGTCCTTGATGCTTTTGAAAGCGAGCAGGCACGATGGGAGATCTATTGATCTGTAGATATTTAAATTATGTTTCGCTATTAAAAAAAATGACATACAGTGCGTCATTCTCGTCTTCACTCGTCTCCGGCTCAGATAGATCTTCATCGTAGCCTAAGGCTACAGCGAGTGCTCTTTGAATCTCCTGTACCTCCTGCGATGGCTTTGTGAGGCGAAGCCCTCGTCGCCTACGCAATATACCGTCTCTGTGTCTTTGTACGTCAGTTGACCTGCCGTCTGTGAAAGACAATAAATAAAACTCAAACTTACTTTGCGTAATGATGTTGGCGTCTCTCTTGACTCGCTTCAAAATTTTTTTGTTCTGTTTTATGAACGGGGGGACGCAGCATGATGATCGTGCAGACTGGGAAAATAGACGAGTGAGCAAGGAGACCAGCAGAGGGATGTATACCAGTGGATGGTCCAACGCGGATCCACGGATAGAAGTTTCGGATCCTCCAACTCAGGTGGGAGGCGCTAGAGGAGCTGGCTGGTGCATCACGACAAGGGTCGGATGGTGGACAGTAGTTGGATAGAGGGAGGGTGAATGTGTAGGGACAGGAACGGCCAGATATCGTCAATTGCTCCTACTAGTAGTAGACACAGTCAAGAAAATAAATGGACTAACTCACCTGTGATGTTTTCGATTTCTTACAAGAGCGCCGATGGATCTTGATGGATCTGGATCCCCTAGGTACATAAGTCAAATTCGAAGCTTGACGAAATGGGGAGTTCAGCACATGCGGCTTGATTAGCCAATAGGCATTCAGATACAGTTCAAGACCAATGAAAAACATATCCCAACCACGCTCGTCTTCACGTAGACTTTGCGGATAGTGGTTTTTGAATTCTTCGTTTTTTTGCCGGTTCGATTGGTACCAAAATTTCCCAATGTTTGAGTGAAGGAGGTCCGTCCGTAGAATAAGTAGCTAAGTGCGTGCATGTGTTCATTCAGCCTTTGCATCTCTCTACTGTCATTATGGGTCAAAAAGCCAAATATCTAACGTTGGCAGAAAAAACAGCTGCATTGCGCAGACAAAAGGCGAACTATGCACAGTCTAAGAGGTATGTTTACACCACACTGCACATGGCATTCTTAACCTCCACATTGTCATTGGCAGGGGGAAAGCTACTCGTCGACTTCGACATTCTCAAAACTATGCCAAAGCACACAGTCGCAAAGGCTCGTCAAAGCCACCCCTAGCATCATCCCAGCTTCCACCCCTGCCTCGAGTTCTCATCAATCTAGCAAACGCCTCCCTTCCAGATGGTGATCTATTTCGTTGCGCTTCCCAAAGTGCTGACAACCTCGATGAATCGGAGCTCCCACAATGGGACAATAATCCCCCCTACGCTATGCCTCCTCCATCCGACACTCCAGCAGAGGTTCGATTCACAGAAAACCTTGTGCAGGTCATGCACGGCCGTAACTCACGCTTAGAGAAGGAGCAGCTACAACAACGTGCACGGAAGTACAATGCAGGAAGGCCAGATCTTTGTACAGAGTTGAAATGTGCTATTGGCGTGCTGCTGGGAGAGTGGTACATATTGCAAGACTATATCTCTGACGCAAGGGACTGTGATAGACACATCAAGATGGCCCAATGTCTCTTGCGATGGCGTGCACGCAGGATTTATCTCTATCACACTGAGGTTGAGAAGATGTTAAACGGACTTGATCCATATATTTAGTTACACATTAATACGACAAGTGTATGAAGGTAGTGACGAAACGCAGACATATGGTCTTCTTTCAAACCCGTACAGTGGCATCCATGCAAAGTTGCCGCGATCATTGCAAGCACCCATATGCCACAGTCATAGCCATTAGTCTGAACCGCGGTCTTCTGATAGAAAATTAGGATAAGTGTACGTTTAATGTATAACATACTTACTATCAGCGGTCGCGCAACCCAACCGTAGAAGTCAACGTCGACTTTGAACACACGTTGATGTTGCTGAGCGATGTTGAAAAGCCGAACAATCAATTTTCATGACGTCCTAGATGCATTAAGTCTAATGAAAGAGGTACTATGTCAGTACTCACTTTGACTTCACTCTTCCAAGGTCGTTGCTCAGCGAAGCTATCAAAGAGATGAAGCTCCTTGCTCTGGAGGTGGACAATACACAAGACCCAATGACCGACACCCGAGGGCCTATGAATTGGTATGATCCATACATCCTTGGCCCAATATTTAGTCCGTGATATGTTGCGCCAAAGCATGTCGTCTGATGCATTGTACCGAATGCGGGGGAGGTCGTGTGTGGACAAAATCGCGTATTGTTAAACAGCGGGAGAAGCCTGTAAAGAGTCTAAATAAAGCAACACTGCACAACCGTTGATGAGGCTATTGTTCAGTAGCGCAGTAGGCGATGCGAGGATCTTGATGTCCTTTGGTTCGAAAATTTGCTGTGGGAATGCATCGCGGGCGGGACATACCAAAGTTCTGAGGATTCCAGGGATAATAACGGTAGTCTCATTCATCGGTGGTACTGCGTCAATGATGACTTGCTAGATAAACTATGAATGCATGGACGCCTGGTAAGGAAAGATGACTTACCTGGGGAGTGTGCCAGGTGATGAGAGCACGAGGGTCAGCTGGGATATCGATGTCCTCTTCGTCTTCACTGTCAAGAGTGTCAACGTTTATGATGTCATCGAGGGCAAGGTGTTCAGGTGGAGGATCATCGAAAAACGTAGCGGTAACCTCCGGATCCTCTGCGCCCTCTTCCTCCTCCACAGAAGTGGTGCATGATATCAATGGAACCCAGTGAAGTGCACATTCTTGGGAGGCACCTGAGATCCGCATCGCCAATGATTCAGCGTGTCTTGCGCGAGATTCAAATCGTAATGGTGACGCAAGTGGGTTGGACCAGCGAATTTGAAGATGTCGGAGATGCTCCCCGCCGCTGACGCAGTAAGATGGAAAATCTGATATCTGTGAAGGAATTAGTGCATTGATCGAAGGTGACATAAAGGAAGGTACACACTTTCAGGCAACTGTAGAGCGAGTTCTATTGCAGCGAGTTCATCGCCAAACCACCTGCAAAGGTTGTCAGCTTCTAGCCCAAGCCGTCTCTGCTCCTCGATGCATCTATCACGCTTTAACATAGCGTGTATCCCATCACGGACATCCTGATCATCCAGCCAACGAGGAACGTCGCCCACTGAAGGTGTAATCCAAATGTCCTCCATCAATGTTTGATCATTACGGAGTTCATTCAGCTTGGTAGGGAGAGGCGTCGGAAGAGGGATACTGCAATCTGGTTCGTATAGTTCTTCAAGGCGTTCGCAGTATCCATTGAATTTGCGTAGTGCGGCCAGTAAGGCTGGTTGTCGCTTTGATATGGCCTTTTGGGTCTGCTGGTGAAGTTTGGTCCCTGCAAAGTGTGAACACACGTCACCGAGCGAGTCTATCCACCTACCTAATGCTTGTTGTGTGCCGCCGACAGCATGATCGAGTTTGTCCCACTCGAAGAAGCTCCCAATTGCGCGCTTCCGGATGTTGATCTTCAGGTCCCGTGCTAAGAGAAGTGTGCGAACGAATTCGACGTTGATTCCTTCTAGCTCAGGGAACCTGTCGTGAACGTTGAGGGAAGCATATAACACATCCACCTTGTCCATGAGGCGCTGGTGACTTCGTTCGAGGCTCTCGATCGCGTCACGCGTGCATTGGGATGCATTTCCCTTCGATATCACCTCGCTCGTGGCTTGAAGTGCCTTCTCTGAGGCATCAAGGTCACCTTGGAGGGCAAACACAGTGTCCAGCTCTTTCTTGAGCCGAGCAGGGGCATCTATAGAATAGAGTTAGAGATGGTCAGGCTGACGAAGTAAATTGAACGGACGAGCACGGATAGACAACTGTGACTGTCGTTGCAGAGCCCATTGATGTCGCAGATCTTCAATTGTCGCATCGCACTCACTCAGCGTGGCCTGTGCAGCTGTCCCTTGCTCATCAATCCCTCGTTTAAGTCGACGCCAGATCCAGTCCCCAAGGTCAGTGCGCATCTCAAGACCGATAGCAGCAGCTTGTCGGTCAAGTAGCCATAACCGACGTTGTCTCTATAGTAACTCAAATATTAGTAGAAATGATACAAAAATTGAGGGCACTTACTGACGAAGAGCGCTGGATACCTATCAAGCGGATAAACCTCGACCATAATCTCTCAGTGCCTTCTCCATCTGAAAGGCCAAGACCTTCGCATATTCGTGGGTTATAAATAAGTTGGCACGACCATTCGTGCCCATAGGCATGCATTGCGGTGGTTGTGAATCGCAAGCGCTTTGTTACAGTTTCGGCAAGTATGTCGTACTTGAAGGGATCAGCAATGAGGTTCGAAGAATTACAGAAATGACTCACCTGACTTAAAGATCGTGCAAGAACACATCCCACATCATACAGAGTAACAACTGTTGCGCCTCCAGGTATTAAAGCAAAGAGGTGATCGATTAGGGCGACAGCATATTTTTGCTGCTCACCTGGGGTGTCAATGTTTGCAAAGAAGAGGGGAATGTCGTGTCGACATATCAATGCCATGACTCCTGTGTCATCGAAGCTGTCCATGGCTGCTTTCTGCTTCTTCCCATCGGCGGCCTCGTACGAATTCTCGCACAGGTCGATAGCCTCATGAGGTACAAGTGGTGCATGCGGCTTTGGAGCAGACTTGCGAGTGCGATCAATGTGTCGACCAATGGCGTCGACCTGAGCTTTCGGTAAGAAGTAGGAGGGATCATAGAAGTGAGGTGAATCGCCTGCTGAACGCCGATGTCGATGATGGAAGTTGCCATCAGTAGCGACATGAATATCACCGCCTTCTTCCAGCTTCCTGCCAAAGACGACTCCTCCAAAACAGGCAGGGCAACGCTGAAGAAGGATCGCAGCACAGCGCTCGCGTGGAATCACGTCTACAGTGGGAATAAATGGTGCGGGATGCTCTGGAGGTTCTCGAGAGGCCTCTATGAGGTCTCGGCTTGCTTGAACAGCGCGTTCAAGCTGGGATTCAAGCTCCACCTGTAAGACGTCAAACCAAAGAATGGCTTGACCAAGACTTCGCCGGAAAGGCTCTTGAATGAATTCGCCCTAAGTTTTGTAAGAATCGAAGGAACTCAACATAGATTCACTTACTTTGCCATTGGTCATACGAAAACCTCTACGGACGTAATGCGTGTGAAGGGCAGATGCGAGTGCATTTACAGCATCACAGGAGCGCTCGAAAAGCGCGCGATAGAATGCGAGCAAGTCCGTAGACACTGCCATACGCGGCTGGGAGGGTGAAGTGGGGAACAAACCGTGCAGAATCAGGACTTGAGCTGCAGTAGCGCATCTGCAGCTCAAGACGTCGAGGGAGGTGAAACCTTGGAAATCATTGATGAATTGAAGCATTCAATATCTAGGGACTTACTATCGAAGAATAGTCCAATCAAGGTCGTGCGCCTTTGTGCACATTTCCGGGAGCGACATGCAGACAAGACCGTTGAAGGTCGCTCGAGAATCTTGCCGACGGTCCTCTGAGTATACCCGAGTTGAACATCAACGAGTGTGGGTATCAGTGTTTTCCAGGTATCGTATAAGCGTGCGGCGGCGACATCAGGTAGAATTCGATGACTTTTAATACATTCAGAGGTGTTTAGTGGCGGAACAGATTCGTCAGGTTGAATAAGTGGAAAAACTTCGTTTTCGATGAAGGAATCCTCGTAAGCATCGGCGGGAGTGTTCTCGATATCAGGTGAGGTGGAAGTAGTGGTTGGTTCAGAACTTGAAGTTGATTTTCCTGCGAGGAGGGCTGCTAACTTGGCTTGTAGTTTATCTTGCTTTGCTTTCTGCCCGGGCAGCTCGACTAACGTCTGGGTCTTGAGTTTGTTTCTGGGTTTCCGTGGACTGACGAATTGGGCGCCCAATCCAGATGTTGTGAGCTGGGCAGCACGTGTATTTGAGGGCTGGGCAGCACGTGTATTTGAGGGCTGGGGAGCCATAAAAATGAAGGTAGAACGCGAGTTGGATATTTTTATTTCTAAATTAAGGTAATAATACAGGACATTTTCAAGTAAGTATGAGGGCAACGAGGTGGCATCCTAGGTGCATGTGAGGCACGCGAGCAACCCAGTGGGAGGGCAACGAAGTGGTGGGGGAGGGCAACGAGGCGGTGGGGGAGGGCAACGAGTCATGATTTTATTTTTAGAACAGCCCTAAAATTAGATTGGCGAATCCTGGGCCTCTCAGGCCAGTTTTCCCATAACATAGAAACCCGGCCTAAGAGGCTACCTTTTTACCTCCGAAAACTACTGCCTGAGGTGGGACTTTGCAGAAGATTTCACACTTTGCATAATTTGGCATTTTTGTCATCTAGAATTATTTAGATTTGTATCGATTTCGTTTGGTAGTTAGACGTCTATCTACGCGTATCCACCTCCTTCTTGTCGGTTTTCACTGGGCTTCAAGCTTCAAGTCGAATATCAAGCCAAGCACGGCCTCCGCGGTGTTAAGAGCGGCCCCGACTTGGGCCCATGCACCTGCATGAAGGAGGACACGTAACCTAACGACGTGAGCGATGGCACCTGGAGTAGGGGACCCCTAGGGGGGGTGACTCGGAGGCAGAGTTAAGTGGTGTTTGGAGCGGAGCTAGCAAGGTTACATTCTGAGTTAGTCTCTCGGAAGCAGTGTACTAGAGGGGCCATCTCCAAAAAGTCCAGCGTACGCACTATCAACGCACTATCAGAGCACACTCCAACGGCGACAGGTAGCTTCACCGTATCTTTCTTCTTCAAACACGGCCTGTAGTACTGAACATGATGAACAGTTCAGATACTTTCGTCGCTCGCTGGATCGTCCGTGCTGTTCATCATGTTTCATGCGAATTCCGTCAAGCGACATTTTGCGCACCCACTTACTAGTACTTGAGGCTCAGGTAATAGTACGTGCTCACAATACATTTAAAATTCGATATTGCCCGACTGTTCTTGTTGAGATGGGCGTTGGCAAGCATATACGAGGCTTCCGAACGCATTTCCCAGAGCCAGAGCGATCATTACTCATAACATACTGTAATATTAGGACATATAGAAGCCTCACCGCAAATAATATGCATCTACCCCGCTTTAACAAATCTCCCCGCTCGATACCCAAACAGGTGCTCTTCCATCTCCTTATCCATCTCCCACACACCTTCTCCCTCAACCCACCCCCCAACATCCTCAATCCACCTCTGAGTTGGCCTATCCTAAACAACACCCCCCGAAAAACACGCTCCAAAGCGGCGTCCAAAACTGCCTGCCACCACCCAACATCCCTCCTATCGCTAAGACAATGTTCGTAGAACAGTACCTGTCCCCCCGGTTTTACCTACCTCCGTGATTAAGCCCGATATGGTGCTTTGGGGGTGAGGGATGGAACAAATAGTGAGGACGCTGACTGAGAGTGTCGACAGGTGGGAGGGAAGAGAGGATCGTGCTGATATGTTCGGCGCCGCAGGAGAGGATGAGGAGCGCTGCCGGTGGATTCGGTGTATCCGGCAGCTGAGGCTGTGCGCCGGATTTCGGCGTGCATGTGGGTATTGGGTTCTAAGGCGACGTATTTAGTGACGCGGGAGCGGTCGAGGTAGTTGATGGTATGTCCGTGTCCTAAGTTTGATATGGAGATGCAACTATGTTGATGGGTAGCAGGACTCACCTGCGCCGATGTCGAGTACTACGCCGTATGCGTGTGGGGTGATGAGCTTTTGTTTGGTGGCCTTTGCGTTTCCGTCGACGCCGTTACTGAAGAGCTTCCATACGTGAGACATGAAGATGTGGGAGAGTTCATGTGGTTGGAGTAGTAGAGAGGGAGTATGACAGATTGCCAGGATAGTGGGCCAGAGACCGGTCTTGATGACTACATACAGATCTGGGAGGATTGCAAGAGCTGCGGAGAGGTGCATTTCAGCTAGCGCCCTAGGCACTTGATGGTGCGATCAAGAGAAGGTTGCTAATGTGGGTGCTTGTATGTACTGATCATCAGCGCTTGATTGGCAACCACAATCAGCTTAGGTGTTGAGTGGCTGCTGCTGCGGTGTGGTTCATGCGGTGCCGAGACATACTGCACTGGGGTGGACATTGACAATGTAATTAATATAACCGTCAGGTCTATGTGCAAGCGATGTTGACAACAACGCATACACATGACCTGACGAGCATAGCTGAAATGATTTCGGGGCCGAGTATATGAGAAAGACGGACGGGATGCTGAAAACATAGCACATGAGACATGACAAATATAGGTCTCAAGGTATGAAAATTTGAAATGTGATGAAGTGATTAGTGATTGACGGCACGCGGGGCCCTTTATTTGTCGTGGGAATGATATCGGCGACAGGTGTAGTTGGGGAGAGTACGTTTGACACTTTATGACAATGACTCCTTGACTGTGTTATCTAGAGCATCCACGTCACATATAAGGCGGTCTCGGCTTTGGTGAGAGAGGCAGCCTCGAGGTTAAAATTAAAGTCACGCGTTTGTGTCCGCGGTAATTGCCGATGGATGATGTACCTGACCGATGGGATCTGCACGTGTATTAGATCACGATCGGGGGTGATTCATTTCTATCGCTTCGCCTCCAACTTGCTTTCTTTTTGCTCCCACTACATTCAACTCACTACTACTTCATCTCCGTCCAACACAACAACAACAACGACGAAGAACAAACGACGACGACGACGAAGACGAAGACGACATCAACCAGCGACCTAGTACGATGAACGTGTCTGATCTACTTCAAGATTCACCTAGTCAGCATAGAAAACGACCTTCCGGTACTACGACGAGCACGAGCACCAGCTCTTCTTCACCCCAACAAGTCGTTGCTGCCCCAAAGTCCATTTCAGATTCACCCCAATCAATTCCTGCTCAGCCTCGTCCTACTCTTCCACCAACCCCAAATCCCAATGCCCAGTACCCTGCACCGCCATCTTATTATTCACCTTCCCCTTTCGTACCTCCTGGACCGCGCATCACACCGAGGCAACCACCCGAACAACCAATGGCTAGTCTACAACACCCTCACCCTCACAATTCTTGGGGTCCTCGCTCATCTTCGGGGTCCTCCACCCTTCTACCCGCAACTACGACCAGAGCGCCATTACCTGTTGGTCCGTCTTCTCTTCTTTTCATCCTCATGTAAATTCTCATTTCCATTCTTTCCTATAGAGAGAAGTCCAGTCGTTCAACGACAAAACGTAATCAACACTCCAACCACTGCTCCAGGTCCGTTTTTCTCCACTATCACTCACACACTTCACAACCCTAACCCCCCTCAATCAGCACCCTCCCATTCACCCCAAAATCAGTCTCAACCCCCCAAACAATCTCTCGAAAAACGTCCGCCTCCAAACTTGAACCCCAATCTCAACAATCAAAGTCCAAATCTAAACCCAAATCTCAACTTTCGTGACCGCGAGACTATGCGAGACCGTGATGGTCCTATTCGCGACCCTCGGTCGTGAACACTTGCGTGACTCTATATTGTTGCCGAGAGATAGAGACCCTGCCTTGTTGCCAAGAGAGCGCGATCCCGCCTTACTTCCCAGAGATGCAGCTCTATTACCACGTGAGAGAGACCTCCGTGATCCCACCCTTCTCCCAAGAGAACGTGATGGCCCCAGAGAACGCGAACCAGCTTTGCAGCGTGATGTCGGTTTACTTCCCAGAGAACGTGACCTTGCTCTACTACCAAGAGAAAGAGACCCACGAGACCGAGACCCATTGCTTAGAGATCCCCATTTCCCACGCGAGCGAGACCCCCTCCTACGCGAACCGCTCATACCTGCCAGAGATCCCCTTGCACGCGAGAGGGAGAGAGACCCCCTTCTCCCACGCTATCGAGAGGAGCGGGAAAGGGATATGGATATGGATGCCATACGTGCTGCTGCGAGGGAAAGGGAGCATGAAGAGAGGCGCGAAATGGGCATGCAGAGGAGAGAGCCATTGGGCTTGGATAGACGAGACCCTGCCATGGATAGGCGCGACCCGCCCATGGACAGACGTGACCCCGTTATGGAAAGGCGTGACCCCGTTATGGACAGGCGCGATCCACCTATGGACAGGCGTGACCCCATTATGGACAGACGCGATCCACCCATGGATAGACGCGACCCGCCCATAGACAGACGTGATCCACCCATGGACAGACGCGATCCACCCATAGACAGACGCGAATCTCTCACCAAAGACAGACGAGACCAAGACCGCTCATCCCACGACAGACGCGACCACCCAATGGAGCGCTTCGAACGCCCTCGTCCTCCTTCCGAACGTGGTCCTGTCCCCGCAGGCCCCGGCGTCCTACAGCTCCACCCTGGCCCTATCCATCAGCATCCGCATCCGCAGCTAGGTGATAGGGAAAGGGAAAGAGAGCGTGAACGTGAACGCGAAAGAGAACGTTCGCATGCCATTGTCCCTCCTCTAGACCGTGAGCGCGAGATGGCGATCCACAGGGACCGAGAAGCGCTACGTGAGAGAGGGGAGAGGGAGCTCTTGCAACAGCAGCAACAACAACGGGATCGTGACCGGGACCGAGAAAGGGAACGCCCAGGTGAAATGCAACGAGATAAACCCAGCGCTGGTGAACGAGAGAGGGTGGGACCTAATCCTAACCCCGGACCAGGACCAGGACCCAGCAGCCATCGTGCATCTCCACTTTCCCGACCTCCCTACGTACCGGCAAACACCCACACCCACCCATCACCTCACGCACATAATACGCACGCGCACACACCGACCCATGGGCATGTACACATCCCACCACATACTTCGCATAGTCATCCCCCGCAGACGCAGGGTCGTGGGCGGATGTTGCCTGGCCAAGGACAGTTCCAGGCGTTGCCTCCCCCGCATCCTCATCCGCATGAGTGGGATAGGGAGCATGCGCAAAGTCAGAGAGTGGAGAGGGAGCGCGTGGATCTGAGGCTTCCTGGTCCTGAGAGAGAGAGGCACCGTGACAGAGATAGGGAGAGGGAAAGGGAGCAGAGAGAACGCTTACCTACTGATCAACGGTTGAGCGAACGTCCCGGTCCAGGGGAGATCCTACAGTTGAGGGATCCAGCGCTTTTGGTGAGGGATCGAGAGAGTGCTGGGAGGGAGCAGCGGGGTGAATTTATTAGAGAGAGGGAGCCGAGAGAGCGGGAGAGGGTGGGGGAGAGAGAACACGAGCAGAAGGTGTTGTCGGATCGAGAGAGGGAGCTTAGGGCTCTCGAGCAGCCTGACCGACGTGTTGGCCGTCGCACGCATCCACATTCGCAGCCTCCGACTCAGGTGCACTCGCGGATGCCGTCTCCCATGGCAGAAGAGAGGGAGAGAGTGATGATGGAGCGCGAACGTGAGCGCGAGCGCGAGCACTTTGAGCGTGAGAGGATGGAAAGAGAGAGGATGGAGAGGGAGCACCTTGAGCGCGAGTACATGGAACGAGAACGCGAGCGGGGGATGAATATGAGTATCACCGAGCGGGAGAGGATGGAGCGCGAACATCTCGAACGCATGGAACGACAGCAGCATCACGACGCTCTTGAGCGTGAGCGCTTTGATGCTCGTGAACGCGAACTCGACCTCATTTCGCGCGAACATATCGAAGCTCGTGAGCGTGCGGAACGCTTGAACCTTGAGGCAATGGAGCGTGAACGCGCTGAACGTGAAGCCCTCGAACGCCTTCCCACCCCGCAGGAGCTTGCGCTGCTTCTTCAATCCCGCATGGAACGCCTACATATTAACCTTGGCTCATGGGTGCTCCCTGCATTGCCGTTCCCCTGGTTTTTCGGAGACCACATGCCCTGCATGAAGCAAGGAGGTGCACAGGAGGTTGGAAAAGATGGCTTAGTTGTCCCTCCGGAAGTACGCCTCACTGTCCTTCTTCCGACCTCCTTCCTCCCTGCCTCCAGGCCACACAAGCTGCGACTATGGGGTGGAGGATTATTGCCCCCTCCGCCGATACAGTTCTGGCCGGTACATACGAACTTGGGCAACGCAGCAGCAAACGGCTCTGGCCCATCCGGATCAAATGCCACGCCTAACCCCTCAGGATCTGTCGCAAGGACCACACCAAACCCTGCACCACCCACCTACCATCCAATGCATGCCCCCCGCCGGCGGGTCTACACCGACGACTCAAACGTTCTCGCATGCGCCGTCCACGCCGGTCTTCTAACATGGAGTGCCATCTCCCTCGCAAAACAAGAAGGCAAAGACATCAAAATTGTGCTCGGAGTCGTGCCCACCGTATCAAGTTATGGAGGCAGCATCAGGAGCGACGCAAAGCACGTAGATCCTCCTGCAGTTGCGTCTAACGGACCAGCCAATGGCACGCCCTCGAACGGGGTTACACCCGCTATATCAGCCTCAAACGGAATCACGCCTAGCACCTCGCAGTCTTCTGCTTCACAGCCTGCCGTATCATCTCATGGTTCTGGGAGCAATGGTGTGGCTGGTGCCACGGCGCTTGATGGGATGGGTTATACTGGTGGTGTTTGGGCGAGTCGCTTTGTGGGTGGATGGGGGGAGGCGTTTTATGGGCATCCGAGTGCCGGGTATGGTGCTGCGGGCGGGGATGCGAGACCGAGGAGCTTTGAAGAGGAAGCGGAGGATGATGGGAGGGGGGTTGTTAGTGCTGGTTGGGGGTGGGGACATGATGGGAGTGCGATTGAGGTTGTGCATGTTGAGGTTGTCGAGGTGGGTGTTTTCTTTCGTTTCGTTTCGTTTCGTCTTTCTCTTTCGTACAACTTTTATTTGTTTCTGGTGGTACACGGTACTGATCAGGATTATCTTACAGAAGGGCTCTGCGCGAGGTCCTGGGCTCGGGCGACGCAACAGGTCACAAAGGTTGCAAGAATATGAGTCGCGTCGTGCGGCTATGGCTCTCTCTCCTGCCTCACCACCACATACACATTTGTTCGCTGACGTCACAAACGGCCGCAAGCGACGCCGGTTTGCCTTGGACGATATCACTGTGAATGGGAAAATCAATGCAGACCCCGAGAATCTAGAGGAGCTCCAGAAGATGCATGCGCGCACGTTGGTGTTTGGTGGCTCGGGGATGGGTGCTGGGTGAGTTTCGTGTTCCTTTTTGTGTACAGAGCGAGTGCTGACTGGATGTTTCTCTTAGATTCAAATACACACCAGTGCTCCTTGCATGTGCGCTCTTCCCGCATCTCGCAGATCCTGCTGTACGCGTATCTTTACCCCGAAAGCGGCGGAAGATCGTGCACGCGCAGGCAGGGGCAGGAGACGTGCGAATGGACACAGACGGTGCTGGAGAAGAGACTGGGGATGAAAAACATGCTGTGGTTCTCGAGAGCGACGGCGAGACATACCTTGTTGCTCCTGGGCCTAGCCCGAGTGAAGGGTTCGTGCTGTCTATCCTTCTGTCTACGCCTTCTACAGACGGGAAGATGATGGACGTTATTGAGGAACCTGCGAACGATAAGAACACAGTGATAACAGCACCTGCGACGCCTCCTCCCACTTCGAGTACTGGTGAAAATCAAACCACTACCTCCGATGCGCCGAAAGATGACCAAAAAACGCCAGTCCCTGATTTACCTCCACCTCAGCCTATATCCGCTTCGCCGCCTTCAGACAAGACAGTGCCTCAGAGCAGTCATACGAAGATCGTACGAAGCAACCTCCAGGATACGGATTTCAAGTTTGAGGAGGATGGTGTCGTTGTGGGTGGGCAGGGTGAGGATGTGAGGGTGAGAGTGGTCCGGTGGAGGTGGTATCTATAATACTTGCAGGCACTTACTATTGGGCTTGGAATTAATATTCATATGGATTTGGCACTGTTACACTTATGCTCTATTCGAAAAGTTGGCAAGTGGTGGTACTAACCTGATTCACTTGCACATCACCTGACTCTGCGGGTCAGATAATTCTCAATTTCATGTAATATAATAGGCATCTCCACACATCTACACATGAAAGCAGCTGTGTGTGCGTAAGGTTCAAGTCATGTGCTCCATGGTCAGTGACAGGGAGGGATTAGCCGGCCTTTTTCTCAGGGACCCTGTTCAGGAAAGAAGACCTTACTACAAAGGGGAGATACTTATTGTGATATCACGCCTTCCACCAATCACAGCGCGGGTGGAGGGGGCGTAATCAATTTTGGGCGCGTTTAACTGGTACTATTCTTGGATACACCATGATACAGTATTTAAGCCCAATGGACTCACCATAATCTTCACAACCCAACTCCGCAATGGATTCCACCACAGAACACCCACCTTGTGCTTCAAACGAGTCACATTTGTCTCTCATCGCTACCCCACTCCGAGATGTGGGTGCAACACCCTCTACTCATACTGGTGGTACTCCGCTGCTGAGTCTTACACAACCACCCCCAATCCCCGTTATCATCATACAGAACAACTACATTGCAGAGGGGGGAACCATCACACATACTTTCAAGTAACTGCAACGGTTCCAGTAAGTTCTTCGCATGTCTAACTTACTAGATACTCACCTTGTGGATAAGCCGTGACCAAGTTAGATCACGTCACACTGACTGCGGAGCCTATACCCTTGAGCCCTCCGTTGGTGAGCCAGCCAGAGCCAGCGGAGTACGGTCGTGAAAGCATAGTGTTGAGCGGTAACACGTTCGGCGAGTGCGTCATGATTAATATAGGATCATCAAATTGCACTGGAGCTAGTAGGTTGTTGAGTTCATCTGAAAGAAATATGGCTGAAGATTAATTGCGTCAGTTAAACAAACTGCTCTTGCGTCCCAGATTGACCGCAACATTTAGGGAGAGGAGTTTACTGGCCTTGTAATGTATTCACCTGTATGCACACGTGTGGAAAGATGTAGTTCATTGGCAATTTTTGAAAAATCGGGACGAGTTGTACTCGCCTAGGCTTAGTGCTCGTGGTTATTTTGATATCTGCCTCCCCAAAGGTAATAGTGAGCTCGCAATAAAGAGATAAGTACGCACGGGAAAAGCGCCAATTGCCCGCCGGTGATCCCCGGGACCGATGGATCCGAATGTTCTGCGGTTCCGTGCTCGTGGTCATTTTGATATCTGCCTCCCCAAAGGTAATAGTGAGCTCGCAATAAAGAGATAAGTACGCACGGGAAAAGCGCCAATTGCCCGCCGGTGATCCCCGGGACCGATGGATCCGAATGTTCTGCGGTTCCGTGCTCGTGGTCATTTTGATATCTGCCTCCCCAAAGGTAATAGTGAGCTCGCAATAAAGAGATAAGTACGCACGGGAAAAGCGCCAATTGCCCGCCGGTGATCCCCGGGACCGATGGATCCGAATGTTCTGCGGTTCCGTGCTCGTGGTCATTTTGATATCTGCCTCCCAAAAGGTAATAGTGAGCTCGCAATAAAGAGATAAATACGCACGGGAAGAGCGCCAATTGCCCACCGGTGATCCCCGGGATCGACGGATCCGAATGTTCTGCGCTTCCTCTGCAAAATGATGTACACTTCAGTGAACATTCGAAGGACATCACATATAGCAGACAGAGCATTGACGCCCCAGAAAAGGCGCGGCAAGGGGTTGCAATAATTATTACTAGCCAGCGTTAAAATTTGCACAGGAATTAGACTCGCCAATATTATAATACCATCGAACCGCTGCATGGACTCCGTGTTCAGGGCTGGAACACAATATGTCCCAGTTTCTCCTTCCTCTAGAGACTAGCAACACGGGCACCAGCAACCTAACATGACATAGAAGTCGCTCCTAGATTCTAAAACCGAAGTCACCAGGCTCCGATAAACCCTGTTCGGGCTCGTTCACATTGGAATCACGCTCGATGACCCCCTTGACCCATAGAGAGCGACATGAACGTCTTCTCGTTACAAAATATACTGATGGTACGGACGTGCAGCGAGCTTTGGAGGTGACTCGGGTGACAGGGCAATGTCAGAGAGTGACAGCAAGTCTTTTGACTAGTGAGTTATTCGGGAATTTTGGATGCCCTGGTGAGACCCTCAGGCCTCAGCCCGCGCGATCATATTCGCCAACAGATGTTGAATCTTCCAATTGAATCGCTGATCGGCAGAAAAGCAGTAGTACTCGTGCAAGCAGGCTGACTAAGCCACTCTGCGCATATTTCAAATTTACAATCAACGTTGCTTTTGCGAGTCCGAGCAGTAAAAACTGCAGTAACGCTTCATGTTCACGTCAAGAATATCATTTTGAGCTCTTTATGTACAGCTCTTCTACTTCTCTTATATCTCCCCCCCGGCGACTCTGTCTGCAACCAAGTTCCGTCAGGTTTCGGGTTGGATTCTACTCCATTCGCTTTGCATGCACTGGTCTTTGTTTCCCCGCCTATCACCCATCAGCATCTGACTGCACTCCCCGCTGGTCTCTTGGAGACTCATCTGATGCTCCCACCCCCGCATGTATCTCCTTTCGTACTAAACCAAAGCTCGAACGTTTCATCAGGAGTGGCAAACGAGCACATCCTCTCACTGGATTAAATAATAATCCACTGCCCATCCCATTACCTCCCGTTTCACCGGGCAATGTCGAACTGTCACTTGGGCTTCTGTTATCAGGGACAGCGAAGTCACAAACTCATCTCGACGGACACAGGTTGCATGATTGGGCTTTATCGTGGGGTAGTGCTCTCCACCACTTCTTACATTGCTCGCAACATGTGTGTGCATGCCGCCAAGATTCAGGTCCCCGAAACATTTATTACAGTTTCATTAGCATCTTCCGTGAGGCAGGCTCGATGTGTCGGACGGGCAGCAAGCTTACGTGCGTATGGCTCGCGTCATTCTAGATTGTTAGTACATTGCAACTTCTACAGAGACGTATTGTACAGACGAACAGAACTTTACAAACGCAGGACATCAACCTCGGCCACTTCACCCCACTAGATGGGGTTAATTTCGGATGCAAGAGCGGTTTGTTTAACTGATGCAGACAATATTAAAGCCCCTGCTCGTCCAAATGAAATAAACTAAACGACCCACCAGCTCTAGTGCAATCTAGCGATCCTACGTTTATCATGACGCACTCGCCGAACGTGTTGCCACTCAATACTATAGTTTCACGGCCGTGCTCCACTGGCTCTGCCTGCCTCGCTGACGCCAGCTGCAAGGGTGTGAGCTCTGCAGTTGTTGCGACGTGATTTAACTTGGTCACGGCTTATTAACAAGGTGAGTCTTCGTTCGGGTGCGTCAGTCATGTGAAGAACTCACTGGACCGTTACAGTGACTTGAAAAGAGTTGATGGTTCCCCCTCCGCAATGCAGTTATTTTGTATGATTATAGTACAGTGTTTGGGTTCGGGGATGGTTGTCTGACATTGGGCAGCGGAGTACCATCAGCCATGGAAATGTGACTGGACGATAGTCTTGGCGTTGCACTAGCATCTGGCAAGATGACAAGAGGCGAACAAAACTCAGTCAAAGCACAGGGTGGGTACGCTCCAGTGGAAGTGCTCATTGCAGAGATGGGATAAGAGCAGCAGGAAGTGCGTTTTTAAAGGTATCACTTAGCGCTTGGCGCCACTTGATTCTTATCGTTTCTCGACGCTTTGTAAATGCAGTCACCACAGCTATCGCACGTCGACGTTCCCGAGTTCGCGACTTGGACATTAATGCCAAGTTATTATTAGAGAATGTATGTAACATCTGAAAGCCGATCAA